TTATGTAATATTTTTCTCTGTTGTATGTTAATTTTTATGCTTACAAAAGGTTACATTATATTCAATAATAAATCATTTGAAATTTAATTGAGTGAGACATTTTACTGCAAAATTTTCATATCACTTTAAGTTGAAATTGACGGAATAGCCCCCCTTATCCTATAAAAATTATAATAAAGCAAAATATAAAGATAAAGGTATACAATATAATTACTATGTCATAATATGAAATATCGTAAATTACAGATTTATTATAACGAATAAAATATAGTATTTAAAATTATCTTATATATATGAAAACACATACGAATATATATGTACTTATGTATCGATTACTCTCCATGTCCCGCAGCTCTACGCAATAAAACATATATCTTTTCTTTGATCCAATCCTTATTATAAGGAGCATAAGTATTTGTCGATTTTTGGTAGACAAGACAAGATAAATCCGTTAATTGATCCACGAAATCAAATAATTGACTAATATCGTAAGTAATAGTTGGAGTGTTTGGATTTCGTCTCTTTAGATGTTCTTCATAAATTTTACAAACTCCTACAATAATAAATAAATAATTAATATTCGTAATTAGTATTGAAATATTATAAAAATACAAATGTATGCACGCGTGTATATATAGAATATATCTTATGTAATGATTAACAAATTATTGGGCGAGTCATAAGTATGTTTTAAAGTATCATATTAGTGGATAAAAAAAAACAAATATTTTTATAAATATTAGATCATAAATGCTTCGTTACCAAAATAACAGACATAAATACAGTAGTATCAAATAGTAACTTTAAAGTGTGAAGTGATTTTTTTAATGTTCAGTGTTCATAATTTTTCATGCATGCTTTAGCACGACGTACACATAACTGATACATTTCTTTATAGAAACATTTGTATTTTTTTTTAAGAACTCACACTTACAAAATTTTTTAAATATATTTATAACTCGCCTTGTATAATATATAGAAAATTAACTGCATCATTCTCTTTTGAGTGTGTGCGCGTAAGCTTGCATTTTGAAATCAAAGCTTCATATTGACTGTCGCAACAACTTGCGATCAGCTTGCAACTAATGTAGAACTTAAAACTGATTCTGCATTAGTCGCATCACAGTGTCGTAAGCTTGTCGCAAGCATTGCAGTCCAAAGAGTTAAGCTAACTTGACGTTGATTGGACCGCAGCGCTTGCGACACTGCGATGTGATTAATGTAGAACCAGCATTGGGCATGCGTATGTATTTTTAATTAATATCTAAAAAATTATTTGAATTAATATTAAATTATTTAATATCTCGTTAACTATTGCAAAAATTGTAAAATAGTAAAAAACTTTCCAACTCAATTTAGTCTATTCTATCAGCTTACGAGCATTGTCGGCAGAATTACCAGACATCCTGTATAAATTCATCATCATATTATATATCATATTATATATATATTTATGTTTTATTTTTTATATTTCTTATAGATATAATAAGATGTAGAATCGATTGATTTTATGCTGCTTAATGCAATCTTATTTTCATAAAAAATTACAATTTTATATAACATGCTAAAAAAAAAAGAGCATTAATATCTGTTATTAAAATTTATAACTTAAATTTATAATATAATATTATCATAAATTATAATTCAAATTACCTTCCATACATTCATTAATGCTTTCATAATCAGAATATGTTCTTGTTTCAGGTCTGACACCAGGTTGTACTAACAGTATTGTATGAGACTAAAACAAAATAGAATTAAATGATAATGTAACTTAATAAACATTATTAATGACTGTCCGACTCAGATTTTAAACCAAAATTGGACAAAGTGATTGTTACAAATTGTTTATTGCTGAAAATGAATCTATAAATGATGTTCAATAATCAAGTGAACATAATCTATCGTGACTGAAATGAAAAGAGGCACCTAGATCAAATTATTATTTATCAATTTTTCTAAAATATCGACTTAGGCATAATCTAGATCTTGTGTGTCTATTTGTAAATTCAAACCATTCTGACATTTAATAAAAAGCATCAGTGAGATCGAACTTCTGCAAAAATTATCCAAAATTTCAATATTGTCTCAAATAAATTCATAATCGAGATGCAATCTATATGGTTCATAATTATAGAGTTAGTATAAGTATTCCACTAAATGACTGCGATATTCTTTCACTTGCATTTTTAGTTTTCTGCAAGTTTGTCCTATATAAGTTGCATCATAATCCCTACAGCTAATTTTATACATCACGTTCTTTTTTAATTCATGGAACAAAGAAGCCTTGTATATTTTGATAAATTTGTGTAGTTTATTAACGCTAAAAACCAACATTCTCTGATCTGCATCATTGACAAATTTATTTTCAGCGACAAAACATCTATAAAAATCACTGTCCCATTCTTAGTCTAGAAGAAGAATTTATATTTATTTTATTGAACAGTATTATTAATTACGTATAATAAAGACATATAAATATTAATTAATTAAATTTTTCATTGTCATATTATTTGTAAAAAATAACAAAGAAACAGAAAAACTATAAATTTTGTAATGCTACAAAAATATTATAATTGAAAAATATTCATTATAATCATTTATATATAATCAATACAATATATATTATATAAATTAAATTGACTATAATTATATATATATAACACATAATATACAATATAAATAACAATATAATACTATAAATAATTATATCTTTTTTCCCTATCAATAATTATAATTGAAATTATATACATATAAAAAAAGTCAATCAATATAAATCTAGAATAAAATATGGTTTTATATAAAAAATATTATATATAAGGAAAATTATATAAGAATTGCTATATAAAAAAATTTTATTTTATTTACAAAAGATTATCACTGTGATGTATCATATATAAACATTTTATCTCTTCTATAAATAATTACATGTTTATGCATTGATTCAATAATTAATTTTTCTTATATTTTCTTTAAATAAATAAAATTATTGATTTAAAAAATAAGCATATTACTTAAATTTTGTTCAGATTGATATAAATAACTGACCATAGAAGCAATCCTTAATATTATTGCAAATCATATTTTAAGCATTTCTCATAACTTTATTGAATTTACTATATTTATGCAACCTGTGTCTTTTAAATCATATTATAGTAATCTATTGTAATTACAGAAATTTCACAAACAATTTGAAATTTCTGTATGATACACTTTAAATTCTATTATTGTTAGGATTCCATAACATAATATAGACGTAACACTTTGTACAATATTTTTTATAAACAGTGACACAATTGTATGATAACAAAATATATTTTATAATTAATATATATTAGTTCAATAAAGTCCAACATTTAGAAAAAAATATACAATAAAGAACTCAAGAAATGAAACACGATTGTGCTTACCATTATTGTTTACGCAGTCCTAGTAGGTAAGTATGGATCATAAAATGATAACTCAGTAATTCTCGATAATAATCCAGATAATATAAAATGATAATCCCTTAGAACGATTTGGAAGTCTAAAAAAAGCAATCTATTGGAATCGAACGTGACCAAATTACAACGTTATAAGAATAATTGATGACAAATAACACTTCGTGGATTCTTTGATAATATATATATTTATTCAAGAAGTATCATTAGATACTAAAAAGAAGGAAGTCTCTCACCCTGCCCTCTAGTCTACGTTCCAAAACCATGATGCAAGGAAACAATTGTGTTGTTGAACACGTTTAACTGCTACAGCCAATCAAAGCTTGGCTTTTCATTCCGTCATTTTTCGGCGGAAAAACTTAGTTTTATGTATAAATAATCTCTCTCTCTCTCTCTCTCTCTCTCTCTCTCTCTCTCTCTCGCTCTCGCTCAATACCATTTATAACTATATAATAATTCTTTATATTTTCATTATTTTTATATTTTATATTATAATATTGTGTTTTACAATCAAAGCCAAAAACTTTTTGATATTTATATAAAAATGTTCGATTTATTTTATTAACAAAATAATTTTTAAATGATATTATTTTTTATTTTATATAATTGATAATATAATTTTTATATAATAAAATTCATATAATTACTAAAATAATTTTATATCATTTTATTTTTTTTTTAAATTAATTTATTTAAATCAATTATTTATTGGAGAAACCTAATGACTTTAACCACCGACGAGATACTATTAAAGACCGATCCTTATGGGAGTTATCCTTATGGGAGGTATCCTTATGGGAGTTCGCATCTTTGTGAATATTGAAGTAATTAAGAGTTAAAAACTGAAAATATTGTACTAATTTTATGATTTATTAGTTTAGTGGACATATTTATGCATTTAGCTCAATAATACTCTTTTCTTTAAAATTGTGATTTCAGTGCTATCATCAAAGTTTGATTATCAATAGAGATGATAACTGCAGAGAAAAAATTGTAATTTTTCTGCAATATATAGAATATTTTAGCTTTACAAGTATGCATATTTATTTATGGAACTTAGGAATTTAGGTAATAACAAATCATAAATTTAATAATATATAAACCAAATATTTATGTTAATAATAGCAAATTTATATCAATTGTCGATAATATCAGCATTCTTCAATTATCTCCGGGGCCCTTTTTATACCGCCAAAAATTTGCTCAGGGTTGATGATCTTTAATAGTATCTCGTCGATGCTTTAACAGAAGTTTGTTCCCCTGATATATGGCGGGAAAATGAGATAGAAAAATTTCAGCTCGCATTGGTCGAATATAGAGACTTTGTCAATATTGCTATCAGAGTTTCTATCATGAAACATGTCGGAATTAATTCTGGTTGGAATTATTCCGTTTTCCCTAGAAAAATAATAGAAATCTAGGGAATAATTGAATAATTCCGAGTAGATTACCTTCTTTTTATATCATAGTCAACGGTTGAGTAACGTAGTGCAGTTAAAAATTTGGTTTAAAAAAATTGTAAACCGTTTCTTGTTTTGATTATTGTGATAATAAAATATAATTTAGAACAATAAATTTGATTTCTTAATTATCTAAGTATTACTCATTATTAAGTGCTGTTTTGAATCGATTTAAGCACTTATTTTGAGAATATTAATTAAGAAAGAAAAAGGAATTCTACATTCACTATGGATAAAAGAAAATTGATATTAAGAAACAGTTTACATAAAGATATACAATCAAGTAATCAATCGTTGGAGAGAAGTGGCTCTAGCAATAAAGAAATAGATTCTTACATGACCAATATTGCAACACAGGAAAAGAGTGAATCTTTTTATGAAGGCAGATTGTCAGATAGTAGATCAACAACATTAAATATTAATTCCAAAGAAAAGAATTTATCTATTAAAGGTAAAAAAAGAAATTTTTGTGAAACTGAGAATATATCAGAAACAGATGAGTGTCCAGTTACCTCTAAGGTATTGAAGACATCCAAACAACTTAATAGTCAAGCAAATATATCTTTTAGCCAAGAGCATATTCATTTGTCAAGAAATCGTGTAACGATGGCAAATAAGACTTTGGATACTACTAATCCATCTATAGAAAAATCAATTACATCGAAAAATAGAAGTGTGAATTATTTATCAGAAGATTCAGCTTCAGATAATAATTTTGACATTTCATATAATGATCGTAATATTGCAAAGAAGAAACAGAATAAAACTGCACTTGATAGAAACACAAAGTGTATTAGTCCAGTTATTAATACCAGTCGTAATTCTCCTAGAAAAATATGTCAAGAATCATTCATTAGTAGAACATTTACAGAACCTCGTATTTCTCAGAAAAAACAAGATAAAGAATTACAACCAGCTTCAAAGTCAAATAAGCAACATCTTTCAAAAGAGCAAGTTTTTCAGGAACCATCTATTTTTTCTAATTTTTTACAAAAATGTGGTATCATATTATCAACTGACATACATACACTTAGTAAGTTTTCTTAGTATATACATCTCTTATTCTTTAATTGAAAATAAGGAAAATTTATAAATTTGTTTTACATGTTAAATTTTTTTGTACAGTTGTTCCTCCATCCATTGCCAAACGGAAGATGAGAAAAGTATTAAATTCAAAGCAATACCAAAAAAAGGATATAATTGATTCAATAGAGGAATATATTGTACGTGAAGAAAATTTTTTGAACATGTTAAATGATATGGAAATATCTGATAATAATAGTTTCAGTGTTCTAAGCAAAATAACTCTTGCAAGAATTCTGTTAGAAGTTCCAGAAATTCAAGCAGATGTATATAATATGTTTATGTGTAAACTTAATGAATCTGTTCTTTTAGTGTAAGTATTAAAATCTATATAATTTTTCTAAATCTGAATTCGAATATTTTTGACAAATTATTATAATAATCTACTCACAAATAAGTAAAAAGATTTTTTTTCGTGTATCTATTGAAATTTAAATTAATTGAAATGATTTTGATCCTTGATGAATTTGTTCATATTCGTGTGTATATGTAAAGGGTGGGCCATCTATTGGTACGTTTTTAAAAATGCGATCAAATGAGCATACATTGATATTTTTTATTAATTTTTTTTTAAATTCAAAAACGAAATTCAAAAACGTACCAATAGATGGCCCACCCTGTATCTCTGTAAAGGTTGGTACCAAATTAATACAATGTGTTAATGAGAAGTTATAAACATTCAATGATTTGTGAGCAGAACTGTTCTCATAATTTGTAAGAGGAAATCAGAAATAAATGATTTTCAGTTATTGTTCATATACACATCTTGGTCTATATATTTTATAAATTATAATAGTTTGTTGAAATTTCTTTATTCTATAGGAATATGCAAAAATTCATTGCAGACTTTCATCGAATTAATGATTGTCAAATTCTTTTGAATAATCCTTATATTAAAATTGTAATAAATAATACATTTTGAGGTATCCTATCTCTCTCTATCCTATCTATCCTAATTCTCTATTTTGATCAATTTCATGTAAACATAACTTATTATTAACAATTTTATTTATAGATTTTTGAATGGTTATAACTTTAATGAATCATTTTTGGATATAAGTTTACATGAACATTTTTTATTTACTTGATTAATACACTATAAATTTAGTTTCAACCTTTACATATATATATTTGTATATGTATATATATATATATATCCTGTATATGTACATACAGAGTGAGTCATTTAAAATGTTATAAGCTATTATTCCTGAGTATGCATCAAATCAAAGATATATTAGACAAAATTTAAAATATAATTTTGAGACAAAGATTGTGAAATCATTCTTATGAATAAATTATGAAATATATACTCTATAATTTTACACCAATAACTGCGTTAATTTTATATTTTAATTCTGTTGCTTATTATATGTCTTGTGGATTATAAAATTGAGAAAGGGCACTCACATTTTAATAAATACATATTGTATGTATTTTTATGTAGAGATAATCTAGATGAGGTACCTTGGGCTGTATTATTATTACAACAATTTCGCTTTTTGGATACTATAACTGATATTGATATACTAACTACAAACATACAACAGCTATTAGAAACATGTCCATCATGGTTTCAATGTGAACTTATTTTATTCCTGCCTGATATTTTGTCAGATGCTCAGCATCAGATTATCGTTGAAGTTTTAACGAAAATGTTGGAAGAAAATTGCGAGTTGATAAATGTAATTTTGAATTGTATTGCCAGTTTTAATCTTGGCAAGGAGTATTTGGAAGAATATCAAATAAAAATATTACATTTGTTAAAAACAAATATAAAACTAGAACTTATACCAATTGTTATCAGGTATATTTAATTTCAAATTTATTACTTGTGCTTTTAATATTTAATTATGATAATATAATATCTTTTTTTAATTGTCTTGCAGATTTCTTTTAAACGATTATGTATGTTCTGATGTTATCAAACAAATGTTGCTTATATTGCGTAATGTAGAAATGCAGCCTCTTGCTGGCGATGACGCTGAAAACTGTTATAAAAATCAAGTACGGATGATTAAAACATTAAAGATATGTATGTTATCAACTAGAGATGTGACGGATATCGCAATAACAGTTATAAAAAATATTAATAAAAATCCAAAACCATTGGATTTAATCATTTTGATTTTAATATATTCTGGAACAATGAAGCAAAAAAATGCAGAAGCCTTATTGAAACAAAATATACGATGTGGTTTTTATAGGATAAGCCTGCTTCATACGCTTTACAATGATTATAAAGAGGTTTGTATATGTGTTGTAAAAAAATTTGTAATTTATCCTTATTTGACAAAAATTACAATTTTATATACATAAGTAGATGAGCTTGATCAGAGAGGGAAATGCAACACCGTGTGTGTGTGTGTGTGTGTGTGTATAAATTATATACGATATTGCATTGTGTATTTTATATGCATCTTTTTAGGTTGTTCGTGAATTACAAATACCAATGTTACAATTAGCGAGTAAACTATTAAAGTCTGAAGAATGTGTGTTTATTATTTTTGCAATAGAATGGTTCCGATTACAATTTCTCAGTCAAAAAGAAACATCGTTTAAGCAACGTGAGATTATAAAAAATATCATTCTTCTCATGGGTAATAATGATCAAACTGTG